CCTTCATCACCTCTCCTTAGCACTTTACTCTTACAACTGTACCTTCTACCCGGGCTTCTCTTAGTCTAGCTCCCTTCTAATCCTTTGTCTATACAAAGGGCAGAATGTTCTTTGAACAGTTCTAACAGCACTCCCTAACTGAAAATCATTCAATATTTCAGTGTTCAGGATTAAGACAAATCCCAAACCCAGTAGAAAGCTTGTCATGAGCAGACACTCTTCCATCTGGCACCCTCACCTCTCACTTCTGCACACAAGCTATGCTGGATCCTGGGTATAGGAATGCAGCCCATCTCCTTTCTGAAACCAGTGCTTTCATCACGCAGTTTGCTCTGCTTGGGACAACCTTCATCCACTTAGCTGCCCACCCACCAACCTCTTCTGCCTGGCTACTTCCAAATCCACTTTTAAAACTCATTGGACCTTCCCCTGATATTCTCTCCACTCCATTTTCAATTAGGTCTCCTAGATGTACTCCAGGATTACCACATGCAGAGGATGATCACACCACAATCTATTCACTGATTTTTGTCTGTATTTTCCACTAAACCAGGGGTCTTCAAACTTCTCTCATTATGAGAATCACCTGGTGGAGTTGTTAAAACACAGATTCCCGGATCCCAACTATAAGAAGTGCTATCAGGAATCTGTGTTTTAACACCTCCACCAGGTGATTCTCATAATGAGAGAAGTTTGAAGATCCCTGCACTAAACTATACAGTCTGAAAAGTAAAGCCTATGTTTTATCTTCAGATTGCTGGGATAGAACTAATAGGTGCTCAATAAATGCTTATAGAGAAAGGACTAAAACTCTGCCTCTGAATCAGTGCTCAATACTCTTTCTACTTAGAGAGATGGTACTGGCCAGTACAAGCCTCACTCTGTTTGGTGTGCAGTCCTGCAAAAACGACTGTGCAGCTGAAACTGGATGCTGCCTTTCTCATCTCAAGTTTTATTGTAAAACTAGAGGCCCAGGGTGCAAAATTCATGAATGGGGGTGAGGGGCATCCCTCAGCCCAGCCTGTGCCTTCTCTAATCTGGGACATCCCGCTCACAATCCAGGACTGCTCCCAACCGCTCGCCTGCCTGCCTGCCTGCCTGCCTGCCTGCCTGCCTGATTGCCCCTAACCACTCCCCTGCCAGCCTGGTCACCCCAACTGTCCTCCCCTGCCAGCCATCTTGTGGCAGCCATCTTGTGTACACATGGGGGTGGCCATCTTTGTGAGTTGGAGAGATGGTCAATTTGCATATTACTTCTTTATTATATAGGATTTGCATGAATCAAGAACATTTTCTATGCATTGGCAAATTGTCATACTCCTTTCTAAGTTTATCCCTTGTACTTTCAATGTCATAGATTATCTGAGTGTTCCTTTAGGCATCACTTCCTGTGAAACATCTTCATCATCTTTGTGAGTCAACCCTCTCTTTTAATATCCATTTCTGTAAAATGTCATGTGAGTTTACTATCTCTGGGAGACAAGGAGGCCACACAACTGCCCACTTTTCTAACTGACAACACATGTCACCAATGGACTTGGAAGAGACAAACTGGTCACAGATCACTTGCATATTTGAAGAGCTAGCAACTGAGTTTGTACTTTATGCAATTATAGCAAATATATTGTAGTAACTAAAATTTGAACAGTGTTTTGGGGGAACAGGTATATTTAATTGGACTGTGGTAACTGAAATTCAAGCAATTCATGCATATCAAAACCATGCACAGCAAGGTCAATCTGTAGTTTAAATTATAAATTTGGAGCCAGATTTCTAGACATAAATCACAACTCTACCACTTATTATTTATATGCCATTAGGTAACTCATTTGATCTTTCTGGGTTTCAGGTTTTTTTCATCACTAAAAGGGAGATAATAGTACAAATCTCAGAGTTATTAAGAGGACTAAATATACATAAAATATTTATGAACACTGCAAATGTTTTAGCTATCACTACCACAGCTTCTACTACAAATACTTATATGACATTGTCTATACTCGCACTGTCCAATAAGGTAGCTACTAGCCACATGGAGCTATTTCAATTTAAATTAGTTCAAGTTAAATAAAAATTAAAAATTCAACTCCTCTCTAATACTAGCTACATTTTAAATCCTCAACAGCTACATTTCCATCTCTACAGAAGTTCTATGGGATAGTCATACTCTATATTCTTGGAATAGATAAAACAACAAAACAAAAAAAAACTTGATATACAAAGTTGATATAAATAATAGTCATCATTTCATCAGTTGCTTGAAATCAAGAAGAAAATTTTAAGTTAAAGGCAAATCTGTAAAACACATGTCAGTGAAAACAAAAGAATTTCAATGAAAGGCTTTAGCACTGGTAATTTTTTTTTAATATATATTTTATTGATTTTTTACAGAGAGGAAAAGAAAGAGATAGAGAGCTAGAAACGTCAATGAGAAAGAAACATCGACCAGTTGCCTCTTGTACACCCCCTACCGGGGATGTGCCTGCAACCAATGTACATGCCCCTGACCGGAATCGAACCTGGAATCTTTCAGTCCACAGACCGACGCTCTACCACTGAGCCAAACCGGTTTCGGCAGCACTGGTAATTCTTAATAAAATGGACAAAGTTTCTTATAGTTAACATTATACATTAAAAATTAATCTACAGTGAGAAAAGTTGCCCAAATTTTAAAAACTTCCATTTAAAATAACTCAAGAAAAATGCATATTAATTGAATATGTGATTATATGCAAAATTAAAGCATTAACAATAATCTAAGTAAACTACACTACAGTTATACTTATCAATCCTTCCTACCTTTCCAAAGAAATGAAACTAAATTTTCTGTAGTAGTTCTATAATTTTTCTTTTGATTACCCAATTACACAGCTTCTGAAGTCTTGGGTAACTATGGCATACCTCTCTAGACGTAGAACATGTTTGCAAGGCTGGAGCCACACCTCTTTCAGCTGTGTACCCCACACTGGACTGAGCAGGTTTTGTCTACACAACCAGTCTTAAATAAATGTTGGTCAAATTGAATTAGAAAAACTATATCATAAGGTAGTAAACATCAACATCAAGTTGATAAAAATGATTCTAGAAAAAAGGTACCGCTATAAAGAATATATTTTAAGAAAAAATTTACACCAGAAAGTCTTGAGAGTCTCATAAAGAAGTAACCATTTATGCTAAGCACAACTTCATTCAAAAAGAACAAACTTCAGTAGAAAGTATGACACATTTCTAGAAAAGGTTGTGGTTATAAAGCAATAGAAGTAAAATGATTTCCCTTACAAACTTTATACCACACGTATGAAGGGAGGATTTCCTAAACTATTACTTAAAAGAAAAAAATTATGGTAACACACTATGCTAAACCTAACACTTAAAACAAATTTAATTTTTTCAAAATCTTAATAAGATTCTATTTTCTTTTACTGATAACAATGATATACTTACTATGTCAACTTGTTCCTACAAATCACTTTTGAAAAGTTAACGAAATAATCTTACTTTCTTTACAAATAGCGTAGTTCACTGACAATTCCTATAGTGAAAACAACATTCTTCCATGACCTTAAATATGTTTGACTATGCTAATATAGAAATAGCTCTAATAAATGTTTATTTTGATTAAATTAAGAATATATTCATTTCAGCCAAGTTGGTGACATGGTTCTCAGACAAAAACAAGGCAAAACATCAAGGCAAAATAATAACAACCAGAGGAAAATATTTAAAGCACTGTTAAACTCATAAATTTAGGAGGAAATTTAAGTCCTCAAATTCTACTAACAAAGAAATCTTATGTCAAATTAAACTTCCTTCTAAAAAATACTTATCAGAGATCCATAGATTTACGAACAAATATTTACCAAAAAAAGCTCATTAAACTGTGCTCATGGAAATAAATTAAACTACAAGTGCAAAAACTGAGTTGATATCACAGTTCTGCATTCATAAAATCACTAAAGATTTAATGAGATGGTTCTTAATTTCTTTAGTTATTCTTAACCCTACTATGGAAAAATCATAGGCTATACTTATTTTAACAAACAAGGGGATTCCTTTGAACATTAGTACTCCTTATCAAATGTTTACTATATGCATGAAAGAGGGTAATTTATTTTTAAGTCACCAATATTAAAACAGGAATTGATTCATCTGATGAATTTCTTTCAAATCAGTATTGTAAGTACCTGGGAGCAAGTATATCAGAAAAAAGATATAAAGGGAGGTGGATAGATCTCCGAATTCTGCATGTGTCAGTTTCCCCAGACTTAGAGTTTTTACAAAATATCTCAGAGTTAGAAACACTCTTAATTATGCAGTTGCCTTAAATTTGTTTTGGAAAATGGTTAAGTATAAATAAATGACACATAAGCATCTATAAGTATTAACACTGGTAGATACTTTAATGTGTTTTTTCAGGTTTTTGATCAATAAAATTCCTGGTTACTGCCAAGACCAGTTTGGCTCAATGGATAGAGCGTTGGCTTGGGGACTGAAAGGTCCTGGGTTCAATTACGGTCAAGGGCATGTACCTTGGTTGTGGGCATATCCCCAGTAGGGGGGTGTGCAAGAGGCAACTGATTGACGTCTATCTCTCATTGATGTTTCTAACTCTCTCTCTCTCTCCCTTCCTCTCTGTACAAAATCAATAAGATATATTAAAAAAAAAAAAAAATTCCTGGCTACTGAGTCAGTGCTTTTTTGTCTTTAATTCAAGATGCTATTTTTATAGTCATCTTTTTTATGGTGGCAAATTTTACTTATTAAGAAGTATATTGACTTGTTTTCAAATTATAATTTCTCATAAATAAAATGTAACCCTCCCCCCCAATATATACATTTTCAATGTTTTTATTCCCCTTTATGTTAATTAAATCATGATTATTTAGAAATAAATACTAAAATGAAACTTATTGCCTTGTTCTGTGTAACCAAATCTAAGAACTATATTAAAGCTTGTTATAAAGTCCATAAATAGTTTCGGGTAGTTGAGCAAAACTTACTGTTTAGAACATTCTCCAGTTTTTGCGTCATGGATCCTTCTACTTTTTCCGTTCCATCTGCTTCCAGTTTTTGATGGATGGCTACAACAAAATGTCTAGTTAAAATTTAGGCTTTTAAATGGATGGAAATACATTACATTGAAATGACACTTTTAAACAATTTTCAAAATGGTTGTACTATTTTCACTGATGGAAAAAAGCACAAATGTGCAAAAACTCTGCATAAACTCAGCAGAGTAACCAAGAGACACCAGTTTAAATTATTTATAGTTTCATGCTATTAAAATAGTACATTACACACATAATCATGTGATCCTGAATGTTGAGAGGTAACAACAGTTTAATTACAAAAGAAAAGTAAGACTTAAGTAAATAATATCTTTGATATTTGGTCATAGGAAAGTTATACTTATTTCTCGGTTCATTATCTGCATTCTATTTTTATAGTGGTCTCTTTTATGGCAAATTTTATGTACTTAGAAGTATACTGGCTTGTTTTCAAATTATGATTTCTCATAAATAAAATGCAAAAAGAAAAAAAACCCTGCATATTAGAAATACTACTATTTGAATTATATCAAGATAAAAATATTTAATTTCAGTCTTGGGACATAACATGGCCAAATATATATTATTCATTTACTACTATTCATACTATAATTATTTCACTGGAAGTTCCAAAGAAATATCTAGTGACATCTTCTAAAACATCAATTTGTGGATGTAGAAATTACATTGGCATTTTTTGCCAATATTCATATATGTACACATAACTCATATAAATATTATCAGGAAATCACTTATATTTTAAAACTCTTTAGCCCAGTGGTCGGCAAACTCATTAGTCAACAGAGCCAAATATCAACAGTACGACGATTAAAATTTCTTTTGAGAGCCAAAATTTTTAAATTTAAACTTCTTCTAACACCAGTTCTTTAAAATAGACTCACCCATGCCGTGATATTTTGTGGAAGGGGCTAAAGAGCCGCATGTGGCTTGTGAGCCACAGTTTGTCGACCACTGATATAATCTATTAAAAAGGGGAGGTTTCAAACAGAGCAAATCAAGCTCAGGTGAAGCACTTAGGAAATTTTCAAATCAAAGTAACCAAATATAATTTCAAATTTAAAATTGTGACATAATAAAAAAATGGCAAGCCACACATTAATTTAGCCATGACCATAAGTTAAGCCCTATGATATTTCTAATGCATACTGCATTGTAAGAGGCCAATGTTGCATGTTCTACTATTATTTCTATTTCACAGATGGCTCAGTGAAAATAAATAATTTGGCAGAAGTCTCAAAGCCAACCCCAAAATCTGAACTCAAGCGGTCTGATCCCAAAACAAACAAACAAACAAAAAATCATCTATCTGAACAGCATCAACTAAGTCTCTATTTTCACATCTTTAAAATAAAAATAATAGACTTATTATGTCAGTTGGGAAGTGAATTCAGTTGCAAATAAAATGACCTCTCTCAAAAATAATAGCTGCTATAACACCTAGAATTTTTTTCTTCCGCATAAGTTGCTGTAGCAAAAACTCAAATGCAAGACACTAACTTACTAATAACATCACTCTTATGTCCACTATTCTCCAACTCTTTCCTAAAGGAACTTACTGGTTCTACCTCAACCTGGCCAGTCATGGGAGGCAGATATCTAGGGGGAAAAAGTCTATCTAAGAAAAAAAGAGTGTATTTCTTTTAAAAACTTTGGAGATAAAAATGTCCAAATATTATAAAGTGAAACTAGAAATACTTCCATGTTCAATACAAATAAATCTATTCATACTATTTATTTAAATGTTGTTATAATTTTCTGACCAGCCAGTTGGCACTTCTTGCATTTCACTAAGCAGGCACAGCATGGAGTTTGTCCATGGCAATGAGACATGACAGCTTATAGTGACCCTAGTTTCTACATCAAAATTAGCATTAAAGGAAATCATGGAGCCAACATTTTCTGTTGCTAACAAAACCCATCACTGATCAGCAGATCAAGACAAGGTGAGCCTGGCTTCCTCTCACCCCCAGCTCAGTGCACAGCCCCTCTCTGGTGGCAAAGCAGCTTCCTGACAACCAATTCCACCACAGCAGAGCCACTGTCAAGCTGTCAGCCAAGCATGAGGACTGAGAGACACAGGGACCTGATAAAGGATATCCTATTTTCCAGAAAATTAAACCAAATAACCAATGTTTGGCTCACTTGACCTTTTATTTATCTAAAACACTTTTAAATGATATAACTCAATAAGCAAAATGGTACATGATGTGGCTCGAGGATTGTTTTGTTTCTAATGTATTGAAACTTGAAGCAATTTAATGCCATAAATTTATATTTGGGAAACAAAAAAAGTATGCATATAAAAGTTCTATTAAAAAAAAATCAGAGTTATCCCCTGTTTCCCCGAAAATAACACAGTGCCTTATATTAATTTTTGCTCCCAAAGATGCGCTAAGACATCAGGGGATGTCTTATTTTTCCATGAAAAAGAATACGGTACACATTTATTGTTAAATGAAAATAAAGGAAATTTATTACCTGTATACGGTACGGTAGTATGGTAGTTGTCAACACAAACCAGACAAACTGTGAATCCTACAGTATTAAGAATTTACTCATTTATTCAATGACAATCATGTTATCTTCTGGAACATCATCATAACAATCCAATTCCTGAATTTCCTGGTGAATTTCTTGTGACTCCATTTCTTTCAGAATCAGTGGACCAAATCTCTCATGTTTAGCCTGGGGGAAGGGCCTTATTTTCGGGGGGATGCCTTATATTTCACTCAGAAGGAAACCTGTAAGTAGGTTTTATTTTCGGAAGATGTCTTATTTTCGGGGAAACACGGTAGAAAAACTCATTAAAATTATTTTGATTGATTCATTAAAATTATTTTAATGATTGATTCATTTGATTCATTAAAATTATTTTAACTTTCTAGTAAAATGTAGACATTAGATAGGCAAAATTCAATCAAAGTTATCATATGTGTCCATGCATTTATATAATGACATTACTAAATGAGACACTAAGAAATGGCATGTATGGCAATGTCCCTAAGGGTTCAGAGTCAGGTACACTGTGGTGTATCTACTCTAACTCCCATGTTACTACTAGCCTGTGTGACATGAAAATATTCAAACTAGGTAGGTCCAAGATTGACAAACTATTTCTACAAAAAACCAGAGAGTAAATACTTTGTGGGCCATAATGAGCCTCTATAAAGTCTTCTTCTTCTCTTCCCATTCTTTAAAACAACAACAACAACAAAAAACACCCTTGCAAAACATAGGCATGTTTTAGCTCCTGGGCCTGTACAAAGGCTGGCCTTATTTGGCCTATGTGCCAACCTCTGAGCATCATATTTACTAAAAGAAAAGTCTAGGAAGGATTAGGGTAAGATGTATTAATAATTTAAATTTGTGAATAGCTTTTCAAACATTTAGTTTCTACTACTTCTTCTACTAAATTTGTATGAGTGGCTAAATATATATGAATTCTATTTAAATTGTTTAAGTAATCTGTGAATCCTTTCCTTTCTCAGTTATATTGGAAAAAAACAAATAATAATATAATTGCACCTATTACATAGAAGACTAAAGGATTCTCACTCAGATAATTGGGTCTTATATAACCACTAGAGGCCTGGTAAACAAAATTCGTGCACTCAGGGGGAGAAGAGGGGGAATCCCTCAGCCAGGCCTATGCCCTCTCACAGTACAGGACCTCTCGGGGGATGTCCAATTTTTGGCTTAGGCCCACTCCCCCTACCCCAGAGGTGGACCTAAGCTATCAGTTGGATATCCTTAGTGCTGCCACCAAAATGGGAGAGGCTCCTGCCACTGCCACTGCGCTCGCCAACCATGAGCCAAGCTTCTAGCTGAGTGGGGCACCCCCTTTGAGAGCACACTGACCACCAAGGGGCAGCTCCTGCGTTGAGCATCTGCCCCTTGGTGGTCAGTGCATATCATAGCGACTGGTCGTTCTGGCATTTGGTCTATTTGAATATTAGCCTTTTATTATATAGGATACTTGCCTTCATACATTAATAGATACTAACAACTTAATGTGCCAAATAATCAATATGGCTTCCAACTATCTGGAGCAGCAGTAATAAAAGTAATAATGAAGGGCGAACCAATTATGTACTAAGTAACGTGTTTAGTTACTCTGTTTTGGTCTCTTTATTCTGTTACTCTTTATTATATCAAAAAAAGAAATAGTTCATACAGTTTGAGCCCATACTTGTCCTAAAAAAACAGTGCTAATTCTAGACTTACTATTAAAAAACAGATGACAAGTTTAAGGGGCAGTTAGGAAAATGGTTACCGAAATAAAGGTGATAATCTGAGACCATTGAAGAAGCACAGACAGAAGGCCTTTAATGTTGGGAGAAACTCCATGAACATCAGCATAACCTGAGAGGACTGCTGTGAGCAGTAGCTAGTAAGAAACCATGGCTCATCAAGACTTCAAGGAACTGGGAAAGAATAGCAGAGACAGCCACGGGAAAAGTGAAATATATGATACTAGAAATATTTTTGTAGGATACAGTAAAGGAAAACCTATAATAAATACACTGAGATTAACATGGGCAGATTAGTTATGCCAGACATTCTTGTCAAGTTCTAATTAAAATAAACACAAGGGGGGGGGGGGGAATGACCAGAGCATAAAAATTTAAAGATCAGCCTGGCCAGCATGGTTCAGTGGTTGAACATCAACCTATGAACCAGGATGTCACAGTTCAATTCCTGATCAGGGCACATGCCCAGGTTGCAGGCTCGATACCCAGTGTGGGGTGTGCAGGAGGAGTGTGGGGTGTGCAGGAGGCAGCCAATCAATGATTCTCTCTCATCACTGATTTTTCTCTCTTTTTCTTCCTCTCCCTCTCCCTTCCTTTCTGAAATTAATAAAAATACATTTTTTTAAAAACTGAAGAGGAAGATCTGACTGCCAGGTTTATTATAACTTAGATTTAATTAATGTAATTAAATTGGGCATTAATAATATATCAGAGTGCTATGAAGAGAACATGCCCTACCCCACCCATTTCTATCTTTGGCACAGTTGCAGAAAACTGACATATATTAAGAAACACATTTACTTTCATAATATTGTAAAACTAAAACTAAATTTATGAAACAAGTCTACTATAATTAGATAAAAAAGAAAAATTCACATTTCAAATCCTGAAAACACAAAAATGGCATCACTAACAAGGTAAATAAAGGAAGAACACACAAATAAACTGAGTTGATAATGAGAAGGGCCTAGAACATAAATTTTAAATAATTTAAAAATTATAATACGATGCTAAAAAACATGAAAATCTTGATGAAAAGAGAATTTTGGGATAACCCAAACAAAAATAAATAAAACATAGGGAGAGTAGAAATTAAAAATAAATAAATGGGTATATACATATATCTGCCAGTGCTCACTTCACTTGAATCCAATGGTCCATCATAGTGTCCTACAGAAGGAACAAGTAGACACTAATGGCCTCCTGATGTGATCACGTAGAAAGCACATGCTCACTACCACATGTAGTAAAAAATGTTGAAAGTGAATCTTACTAATGTTCAAATAGGTAAATTCAAACTATAGAATAGACTAAAATAAGTTAAATGACACCATGGGAAAATAATCAGTCAAATCTAGACTATGGGATATCCTACAGGACAAATAACCTTGATTCTTCAATAAATCATTGGCATGGGGAGGGGGGGGGAGACAGTTACTTTAAAAGAGGCTTAAGAAACTTAAAAAAAAAATGAAATACCTGGACCTTATTTGGATCTTCATTTGGCCAAAATAAAAAAGTTGGAGGGTAAGTGGGGAAATTTTAATATGAACTGGGAATTAGATGATAGTAAGTAATTATTAAAACTTCTGTTAGCTGTGATAATGGCATTGCTGTTTGGTAGGTAAATGTCCCTGAGGAGAGTGGGGACTCATACTAAAGTATGTAAGACAGAAATGTCACGCTATTTGAGTTTCACCACAAGGGATCAGAAAAACACCAACCGACCAACCCACCGCAAAAAAACACTGATGAAACAAGGATAGAAAAATATGAATAATTGTTAAATCTAGATGATAGGTAGATGGGGATAACTATCTTCTCCACTTTAAACATGTTTGAAATTTATCATAATAAAAAGTAAAATAAATTACTCGAGCAATTTATTAGCTCTTTCAATGTATTAGCTCTTTCAAATTTCCAACACATAATTCCTAATCTATATAACCCATTTCAAAGAACAATATAAACATGTACACATAGATTCATATGATTCTGTATAACAATAAAACTAAAGCCTGACCAGTAATTAGCATTTTTTAAAATTATAGATCAATTCCACGTAAGATACTAAAAAATTTTTCTAATGAGTTACTAATAAATCAAATATACTAAAATACCCAGAGAACCAACCTAAAGAATAAAGATTTCTAACATATACAACTTGATATATATTTTTAATTTTGTACTCATCTAAGCTAAGGGGGAAAATACCCAAAGGGAAATACATTAATATATTAACATGATTATCTCTACAATAGAATTACAATAGTTCTTTCTTATTATTTACTGTTTATAATAAGCATTTCACTTACATCACAGAAATATAAAAGCTAGATATATGTGTTTAAAATTTTCAAATTTACTATTAAAATCATTTTCTATATGGAATAGTCAGTTGCTTATTAGTAGTTGGTCACCATTTTCTTTGTTAAACTTTTTTCTTTCTTTTTAATTCTCCCTGCCTTTATGGATTTTTAAAGAGAGAAAGGAAGAGGGGGGGGGAAGAGAGAGAGAGAGAGAGAGAGAGAGAGAGAGAGAGAGAGAGAGAGAGAGAGAGAGAGAGAGAGGCGCGCACACAGACAGAGACATTGGCGTGGAGGGAAAAATCAGTATGTCTCCTTCTATATGCGCCCCAAATGAGGACTTAACCTGCAACATGGACATGTGACCTGACCAAGAATCAAACCTGTACTTTTTGATGCATAGGACAATGTTCTAACCAAGTGAGCAACCAGGCCATGGCTCTTTGTTAAACTTTTAGGGCAAATGTCTAATAAATGAGACCACATAAATTTAATGCACAAAATAAAACTTCTTGAAATCTGCTAAGACTGAGGCCATCTATAGAAGTAAAACCATAAACAAAGAAATACAAAAGTATATATGTATAAATAAATGTATTTTTTTAAAACAAGTAGAAAGTCAAACATACTTTTGCTAAGTGAAATAATTATAATTTTAATAATCTTTGAGAATGGCTAATTATATATGGCAAATTATCATTTGTATAGATACTAATAACTTAATTCTACTTGATAACACTAAACTGTTCATATATGCTCAGGTTTCTATTGTGGACATAACATTGATAACTTAGAATATCAATAAGCACAAAGAAAAACACACTCATCAAAAACTAAGGGCACAGCCTGGCTGGTGTTGCTCAGTGGTTGAGTGTAGACCTATGAACGAGGAGCTCAAGATTGGATTCCAATCAGGGCTCATGCTTGGGTTGTGGGCTCGGTCCCTAATAGAAGGTGTGTAGGAGGCAGCTGATCAATGATTCTATCTCATCATTGATGTTTCTATCTCTCCCTCTCCATTTCTCTGTGAATTTACAACAATATATTTTTAAAAATTAGGGGGCATGGAATATTTATTAAAGAAGCCTACCTAACTTCTCTGTTCCATCCTGGGCATTTGCATTTTATCCCATCAAAAACCTACTTGGATCTGCAAGGAAAGAGCTGTACCAGATGCACATTTCACTTATCAGAAGTTTGGCCCAGGAAGAAGGGACTTTAAAAATAATAAAAGGATGTCTGTGCTTTAAGAATAAAATAATTTTAAAATTTAGTCTTTCTGAATAGAAGAAGTTGTGGCTTCCTTGTCAAATCAATACTTAGCTATATCTAGGTATCAGGTTATAAGAGTCTTTGTTTTTTAAAAGAACTGGGCTAACTTTTATTAATGTATTTTACTTTTCACTAGATAAACAATAAGTTGATTTTTATTAAAGACAGTTTTAGGGGGGGAAACATACCCAATATATTTCCCTGAAATGTCTAAAACCTATGTTATTTCTATTTAATACAGTCAGTTTCCCTTACATATACAGATGAGGACATGCATGGTGAACAGTTAAATATTGTGGATAGTACTGGTAGGGTGATGGCTAAGGAGTATTATGTTGCTATCAGTCTTTTTGAAACTAAACACACAATAGGTCACATTTATAGAATTAGTCACATGTGTAAGATATTGATGGCTAGGGATTTTTAAAATTCTAGAATTTAACCCATTGGGATTTAATTTCTTATTGACCCTGGAGACTGGGCATTATGGAGAGGCAAAGTGGTCTCCTATTTCACACATGTACCATGGGTCTACAAAAACCTCAGAAACAAATATTTAAAGTATCAAGCCTTCAAAGAGATTCCAGCCTAGTCTGCAACAAATATTTAGGGTACATTTTATATCTCTACTTGTATAAACACAGACCGAGTGTCACACCCTGTAAACACTCTGCAAACACAGTATCAGGTTTCTGCTGTGGAAGCCACAGCAGATGGCTCACAGGGTCACCTTACCTGCAAGAGCATCCTGTGCTTCAAAGAAAGTACTAAGACCCCCTTTCACACAGGCCAGGCTACCCTCACTCTTCTTGTTAGCCTGCCTCTTCAGGTTTGAAACTGCCATTTTGAGCTGCTCAAAACTGAAATGAAATAAAAGAAAACTAAAAGTTTGACACTCCTAACAAGCAAAAAAGCAATAAGATAGTCCATCCTATATAATAAAGAGGCAATATGTAAATTGACCATCACATCCTCGCACAAGATGGCCGCCCCCATGAGGTCACAAGATGGCCACTCTCATGTGGTCACAAGATGGCTGTGCCCACATCATCACAAGATGGCTGCAATAAGATGGCCAGCAGGGGAGGGCAGTTGAAGGTGAACAGGCCAGCATGGGAGGGCAGTTGGGGGCAAACAGGCCAGCAGGGGAGGGGAATTGGGGGCGATTGGAACAGCAAGGAAGGTTGAGGGAGACTGGGCCTGTAGGGGAGGAGAGTTGGGGGGGACCGAGCCTGCAGGGGAGGACAGTTGGGGGCTGGAAGGGCAGGGCAATTTGGGGTGACCGGACCTGCAGAGGAGGGCAGTTAGGGGTGACCAGGCCAGCAGGGGAGGGCATTTTGGGGCAACCAGGACAGCAGGGGAGAGCAGTTGGGGGTAACTGGGCCAACAGGGGAGGGAAACTGGGGGTAATCAGGCTGGCAGGGGAGTGGTTAGGGGGTGATCAGGTTGGCAGGCAAGTGGGTGAGTGAGTAGTTGGGACTCAGCAGGCCCAGATTGTGAGAGGGATGTTCGACTGCTGGTTGAGGCCTGATCTCATTGGAGAGGGTGCAGGTTGGGTTTAGGGACACCCACCACCCCCTCTCCCCCATACCTGAGGTAGTCCTCAGTATTTCAGAAATTTTATTTTTATCTGGGCTAAGAAGTTTGGCTATAAAACTTTGAATACATTGAGTGCCATGATAGCTCTATACAGAAAAGAGATAAATTCTGACTTATAGTAATATAAAAAGCACATCCATAATGTAGAATCAGAACTATCTCCTAAAATAAAAAATTTCAGACATTTGCTTTAAAAATTTATCAGGCCAAATTTATTCTATGTCTATTCCAATTTTTCCTCATGTTTTCCTTTCTAATAGAAGGAGAATTTTTCTTAAGTTATATTTTAACAAGTTAAATTTTCAAGAATATAAATTTTAAGCAATAAAACATTCATTAAAGCATTTTTACTAAAGATAATTGTTTTAAAAGTCTTGCAAAAAAAGTTAAAAACTTGATCTTGTAGAGAAAGTGGGTAAAATGTAATTAGCAGACAAAAAGGAGCACTTTAATTTAGATATATGACCTTGTCTATTTGTTTTATCTAATTTTACACCAAGTCTTTGCAAAATGATAAACCAAGTCATCTTCCTTTGCTCTATGATCTGGAAAGGTTTATTTTCTACTTTACATCAGGTCTTGAAATTTTTGTTATTTAAGTTGGGAAAAGTCACATTCAGACACATCAGTTTCATTACATAGCTGAGATTCCACAAAGTTTTCATGGGTTGCACAAATAATAAAACTGATGGAAACAACAGGATAGTAAGAAATAAGGACCTTCTAATTATTGTAATAACCCCATTTTCAAATTAGGAAATAAGTACCTTGAGAGGTCTACAAGCTCACCCAAAGTTAAAGGGCGCTGAGAGAACTAGACCTAAAAACCCACATCTTCACTGCATCTGAGTGAATAACTCACAATCAACCACATCACTAACCTGGTGGTTGAGTGATTCTCTATCAGATACCAGGCAGCTGAAAAATTCTCACTTGTAAAATCAGCACTCATTCCAGGAAACAGCATTTCCAATTCCTTCTGGGGAAATTTACTTCTGTGGGGGAAAAAAAGTTTACAATATAGTTCAAGTTCTATTACTTACAAAGATGTAACAGATGTCCAGGAGTACCTAGTATAACAAACATAAATACAAACCATTAAAAGTATAGATCTACATAATGAAGCATATGTTTTTATGTATATACAAATAAAAGCATATTGGCAGCTGAACCAGCTCACATAGAAGAGGCCAGGCGAATGCAGATCAGGCTCCTCATGGGCACCCGACAACTGAGCATGGGGGCTTCCCTGGCACATAAGCCCTGGTGTCTCAAGACAGGGTATCAGGGGGAGTGAGAGTGAACTTAGTAGACACCCCATATTCTCACTGCACCTCTGTCCCCATCACACCTGCCCCCAGGTAGCTGGTGAGAGGTTGCAGTCCCCCAACCAAGTGCCGCAGGAGGTTGGCCCCGGGCCTGGCCTAAAATGGGCGAACAGAGCCTGCCGGCCACTGGTAGCTATCTGCAGGGCTATCGGTTGAGGCAGGGACACTGAACCAGCTTCCTCAGCATCTGGTAGCTGGGCAGCAGCCCTGCACACCCCTCTCACACCCCAACCCCTGATGCAGCCACTGGTCACTATCAGCAGGAAAATCAATGGTGACCGAGCCCACTGTCTGGCTCCCTCAGTGCCAGGGAGCCAGGCAGCAGCCCCACCTCCCAACTGCTGGTTGCCATCTGCGGGGCAATTGGGCCCCTGCTCACACCCACCTTGGCCTGGTGCCTCTGGCTCACTAACTCCACCATCCCACTGCAGTTCTTCTCTCATCTAGGCTCATTGGGGCCAGCAGTGACTCCACTGCCGCCTGCTACCAGCACTGCTTCACTGAACCCCACCATGTTCTGGGCCACCCCTGGTGATCAGTGCATGTCATAGTGAACGGTAAAACTCCAGGTTAAGCTAACAATTTGCATATTAGGCTTTTATTATATAGGATTCTAAATACATTTAATAGGAAATTAATTTAAATATAGAAAATCCATTAACACTAGAATATAAGATTAAATGTAAGAAAATATAAGAACTAAGATGATACTTTATAAAATCTATCCAGAGCCAGTGAGTGAGCATAGGCCTATTTGGGCAGCAGTAGGGGAGCAATGCCTAAATCAAAGGAACTTGTTTCTTCAGGCTCTTCTGGCAGTGGTTCTGAGAGTGAAGTTAACAAAAAGTGAAAGAGGAAACAGCAAGTTACTTCACCTGTAAAGAAGCAAAAGGTTGGTGAAACTCAAGAGCCCTGCCATCTTCTGAGCAGAGCAGCAGCAGCAGAGATAACATGTTCCAGATTGGGAAGATGAGGTACCTCAGCATTCAGGACTTTAAGGAAAAGGACTAATTGATACCAGAGAATATTGAATGGATCCAGAGGTGAAATGAAATCAGGAAGAAAAGGTGTTTATTTAAATCCTGTCAGCAAAAGGAACAGATTTCTGACGTTTATGATGCAATAAGAAAACTGAAATCAGAGCCATATAAAACCTGTACTATTCCAATTGTTTTAATCTGTCATTATACATAGGCTTTTTAAAAAAATATATATTTTATTGATTTTTCACAGAGAGGAAGAGATAGAGAGCTAGAAACATCAATGAGAGAGAAACATCAACCAGCTGCCTCTTGCACACCCCCTACTGGGGATGTGCCCGCAACCCAGGTACATGCCCTTGACCAGAATCGAACCTGGGACCTTTCAGTCCGCAGACCTACGCTCTACCACTGAGCCAAACTGGTTTCGGCAATAGGCTTTTGTTTTTTAAACATTTCCCCAGCTATTGTATATTGGAATTGCCGAACAATTGCACAAATAATGTGCTTTAAAATGTTCTCAGTGAAACTAATTGTCACTTTTAGCAATATTTAGGGGGATTGCTTTGAGCTCACCACCTAGTGCAAAATAAAATCAAGTAATACAATCTTTATTGTTGTGGCCTTGTTTGATCCAAAGAATTGGAGCTCTTTAAGGCCAAAAGTTAACAGTTTAGTTTTTAATTTAAACTTTTTGCTCTTTTTCTTAAATATATTATGCTAATCTAGAAAATTCAGTGGATTTGTCGAAATGTTAATTATCTTAATAAAGAACTTGTAACTAAAATATTATATGAGAACTACAACCACTAATTCAACTGTATTAAATATTAGGAGGTGTAGTTTGATAGACAAAATGGCTTGTATGAAAATTCTGAGCAAGTAAGTGTATGTCATGATCTGTAGTATTCTGTGTAGTACTAGGTGTATCAGTTAATAATGCAGATTTTTTTCAATAGATGGAGATACGCATATGTTGATATATATGTGATTTAATATGTATGCTATTGTATCGATATTGACAACAAGCTTCAAAACTTCATTATGTCAAATTTTCTGAAGGTTTTAACATCATAGATATTTTTACACTTAAAAATGTCAAATTTCGTGCCAAAAAAAAAAGAGTATTTGCGGTAAGTTTTAATTCATTACTTTATTTTGAAGAAAAGTGCTGTTGAATACTTCGGGAAGCTTATGGTGAACATACTCCATCTTAAGATACTTGTGAACGTTGGTGTAAATGCTTTAAAAGTGACGGTTTTGATGTGAAAGACAAAGATGTCCAGGTCAACTGAAAAGTCTGAAGACCAACAATTACAAGCATTATTGGATGAAGATGCTTGTCAAACTTAAAAACAACTTGCAGAAAGATTAAATGTTGCTCAGCAAACAATTTCCGATCTTTTACAAGCAATGGGAAAAATTTTAAAGGAAGGAAAGTGGGTGCCACATCAACTGAATTAAAAACAAATGGAAAACCGAAAACTAATGCACATTTAAAAAAGTATTCTTACCAATTGTTCAGCAATTCCAATATACAATAGCTGGGGAAATGTTTAAAAAACAATGAGTTTTTTAAAAAACAATGAGTAAAATGTTGCTTCAATGGCACAAAAGAACATATTTTTTGCATCGGATTGTGACTGGTGATAAAAAATGGATTTACTTTGAGAATCCCAAATGCACAAATCATGGGTTGATCCAGGTCAACCATCAACATCAACTGCAAGGCCAAACTGCTTCGGAAAGACAATGCTCTGCGTTTGGTGGGATCAGGAAGGTGTGGTGTATTATGAGCTTCTAAAACTAGATGAAATCATTAATACTGATAGCTACTGACAACAAGTAATCAATTTGAACCATGCTTTGATTGTGAAGGGACCAGAATGGGCCAGAGACACAGTAAAGTAATTTTGCTTCATGATAAGACACCATCACACACTTCAAAACCAGTTAAAGACACGTTAAAAGATCTTGCCTGGGAAGTATTAACCCACCCACTGTATTCACCAGACCTTGCTCCTTCATATTATCACTTCTTCCAATCAATGGCCCACACACTTTCTGAGAAGTACTTCAAAACATACGAAGAAGTGGAAAATTGGGTCTCTGAATGGTTTGCCTCAAAACAAAAAAAGTTCAATTGGGACTGTATCCACAAATTTACTGAAAGATGGGGAAATGTGTAGCTAGCAATGGACACTACTTTGAATAAAGCACTTTTGATAATTAATTTCAATGTTTTAATTTCAAGTTTCTCTTAAACTTATCATGTTTGCTTTGATAACAAAATCCATTATTTTTAATGGATACATGTAGTAGTTACCTTATTGCTTAGTCTGCAGAAAATAAAGACTTAGATGTCTGATTTGCTCTCATTTATTTAAACATGTTCACCATAGAATGGTATCTATAATATCAGATATTGTTAAGTTAGATTAGGATTTAACAAAAATTATGAAAGCTTAAAAACAAATAAAAACACATAAGAATCCAAGATGGCGGCATAGGTAACAACTAACTGCAGCCTCTCACAACAATTTCAATAAAATACAACTAAAAAACAAAATGGACATTACCCAGAACTACAGGAAAGTTGACTGACTAGAAATTCTACAACAAGAAGGAAAGAGAAAAGCAGAAGGAAAAGCAGAGGAGCTGTAAAAGCCTAAGGTACGGAGACACGTTGTGTGGGCGGAGAGGACGGAGCCGGAGAGGAGGGGGAGGCTGAGTGCCTGGCTGGTGTTCCCTAGCTCCAGACTGTGCTGAGCCCCAGTTCTGACTGCACTGAACCCCAGTTCTAGGCCAGACACTGGGGACCCAGGCTCATACAGAGGGAGCCTGGGCTGTTAGGCGGAATCTCAGGGGAGCGTTGAAAGGCAGAGCCTCCAAAGGCGTGCACATTACGCGCAGAGGACAGACGTTGACTCTGCTGCTAGATTGCCCTAGTGGGAAGGAGACAAAAGCTCTGGACTGTGCTGAACCCCAGTTCTGACTGCACTGAACCCCAGTTCTAGGCCAGACCCTGGGGACCCAGGCTCATACAGAGGGAGACTGAGCTGTAAGGCGGAAACCCAGGGGAGCAGCGAAATGAAGTCCCGGAGGCGCGCACATTGCGCTCAGAGAAGGACAGTTGACTGCGCTGCTGGTTTGCCCTAGCGGGAAGGAGACAAAAGCTCCAGACTGCTCTGAACCCCACTTCCAACTGAACTGAACCCCAGTTCTGGGCTCACTGGGGGAGACCCTAGACTGTTTGGTAGCAGGCGAAACTCCAGGGCACCTTTCTCTCAGAGGTGCTTGCAAGGAATACTGAAGGACTCTGAGGAATACTGAGACTCAGGAGCCTCATAGGGTGTGGCTGACGGAAGCCAAGGCTGTAGGCTCCACCCTGAAACTCGCCCCATCCAAGCTGAACACAAAGATTTTTAAGGCTACCAATTCAGGGAAGCTGCGAAAATGCCGAGACAAGGAAACAGATCACAAACAAAAGAAATGGAGGTCAAAAAGCAATTGGATATAGAGTTCAAAACCACGCTTATAAAGTTTTTCAAGAATTTCCTAGAAAAGGCCAATAAGGCCTATGAGGATATGAAAAGGGATCAACTAGAAATAATAAGGGATCAACAAGAAATAAAGAATACATTGTCTGAAATAAAAAATATTATACAGAGTCCTAAAAACAGAATG